CACCCTGGGATAGGGTGGAACTCAAGGAGAGCTCAGGGCTGTGTAATAGGGAATTTCTTTTGACTTTCAAAGATTCTGTCAACTTCATCATGCTCAAAATTTGGTATTTTTTATTTAAATACAGAATTTTCATAGCGCTGAACTCAGGTGTGATCTCTCTCATAATATATATATGTGTGTGTATTATAGGCATATAGACATATATAGATATATGTAATATATATATGTGTGTATATATAGGCATATAGACATATATAGATATATGTAACTTTAAAATTGCATATGAAATCAGAGGATCAAGCAGGTTAGAAAAGACCTCTGAGATCATCAAGTAAACCCTTGATCCAACCCCGCCGTGGTTCCCAGCCCATGGCACTGATGCCACATCCAGTCTCACCTTTAACACCTCCAGGGATGGAGAATCCACCCCTTCCCTGGGCAGCCCATTCCAATGGCTGAGCACTCTCTGGAAAGAAATTCTTCCCAATATCCAACCTAAACCTCCCCTGGCACAGCTGAAGATATAACTAAAACCTACATAATTCCCAAATAAATAAAAGCACATATTATGTATACATACATATTATATGTATATATGTTCATATATTATACACACACACACATATATATAATATAACTGTTGATGTATTTGGGAATGGTGTAGTTTTTAAGTGCAATCCTGTACCAGCCCGGCAGCTTCCCGGGCTTCGGTAGTTCCGAGCTTTGGAGAATTTTTTTTGGAGTTTTGGCCAGTCCTCGCGAGCGAAGATTTGGGAAAGGTCTTTTACCCTTCGAATTTAGACATCAATAGTTCTGACAGTGTGGGGGGGCTCGCAGTTTCTCAGGAACACAGGTTGAAACCCAAACCCGAGGCCACGGGACGTTGTGCCCAGTAAACAGCCATGGCCCATTACACCCTGGGTGCCAGGGAGGGTTTCCAGCCTTCCGTGGTGTCAGAGGAAGGGTTTTGGCTCCCGCGTGTGCCCCGAGGCACCAGCGTGTCTTTCCATTCTTCTGGGCAGTCCTGTGCCGTTCGATAAGGTGATTTAGGGACTGAAACCCGCCTTTTCCATTCCGTACGCGGAGAGAGGCTCTGTTCCCGACATTACCATCTCACAACCCTGCACACGCAAGATGTGCCTCCTCTTGTTCGGGGCTGGGCGAGCTGCGGGT